TGGGGAGCAGCCACTTGGGGAGGAGCCACTTGGGGAGGAGCTGACAGGAAAACAAAGCTTGTCTGCACCACCCCGAGACTCCGCCCCATCCAAGCTGAGCACAGAAGCTCTCCCAGAGGCTGGCTTTCTCTAAGGAGAGACTGGCTGGAATCCAAAGCTTGTCTGCGCCTTCATCAAAGAGGTGCGCGAGCCTGTAAACAATCTGGTGAGACTCAACGCAAACAGGACTTTTCTAAGGCAAGACTGACAGGGAACCAAAGATTGTCTGTGCCACCCCGAGACCCTGCCCCATCCAAGTGGAGTACAGAAGCCCTCCTAGCTGAGACACTGCTGATCCTCACAGCCAACTGGCTTGGAGATCAATGCTTCCCAGTGATAAGCTAGGCTTAACAACAAGACTGCACACACAGCCCACAAAGGGCTACACCAAGACTGTCCACCGCAGGTAACTGGGAAGGCTGTGCTACTGTGCTCTACCAGAACACCTAATACACAAAACTATTCCTTCAAATCAGGGAAACAACTAAAATGCAGACAAGGCACAGGACACAAAGGAAGGAGATGGAGGAAAAGAAAAGAATGGACATTGAGTTCAAAACCACTGTTATAAGGCTTTTCAATAATATCCTTAAAAAGGCCGATAAAATAAATGAGACCTATGAGGATATGAAAAGGGATCAACTAGAAATAATAACAGATCAACTAGAAATAAAGAAAACATTTTCTGAAATAAAAAAATATTATACAGAGTCCTAAAAACAGACTGGAAGATCGCAAGAATCAAGACAAAGATATAGAACACAAAGAGCAGGAAGATACTCTTCCGCAGAAGCAAGAAGGCCAGAGAATCCAGAAAGTTGAAGATAGTGAAAGAAACCTCTTGGACAATTTCAAGCGAACCAACATCAGAATTATGGGAATCCCAGAAGAAGAGAGAGAGCAAAATACTGAAAGAATACTGGGAGAAATAGTGACAGAAAACTTCCCCCACCTGGTGAAAGAATTAGACTTACAAGTCCAGGAAGTGCACAGAACCCCAAACAAAAGGAGTCCAAAGAGGACCACACCAAGACACATCATAATTAAAATTCCAAGAGCAAAAGACAAAGAGAGAATATTAAAAGCAGTAAGAGAAAAGCAGGTAGTTACCTATAAAGGAGCACCCATACGATTGTCAGCTGATTTCTCAACAGAAACCATGCAGGCCAGACGGGAAAGGCAAGAAATATTCAAGATAATGAATAGCAAGAACCTACAGCCAAAAATACTCTACCCTGCAAAGCTATCACTCAGAATCAAAGGCCAGATAAAGAGCTTCACAAATAAAAAAAAGCTAAAGGAGTTCATCACCACCAAACCAGAATTATATGAATTGCTGAAAGGGGGTTCTTTAGGAAGAGAAAGAAAATAAAGATAAAAATTATGAACAACAAATACGTAACTATCAACAAGTGAAACTAAAAGCCAAGGGAATTAAAAAACCTGATGAACAATATTAACTGGTGAATATAATAGAATCAGAGGTATGGAAGGGGAGTGAACTGACGATTCTTGGGGAAAAGGGGAGAGGGGGGCATGGGAAGAGACTGAACATAAACTGTGCACCTATGGATGAGGACAATGGGGGTTGGGGAAAGGGCAGAAGGTGGGGTGGGAACCTGGTGGAGGGGAGCAATGGAGGGGGGGAAAATGAGGAACATTTGTAATAATATGAACAATAAATATTTATTAATAAATAAAAAAAATAAAAATAAAATAAAATGTCCATACTACCCAAAGCAATCAATCTATAGATTCAATGCAATCCCTGTTATAATACCAATGGCATTTCTCAAAGAAATAGATAAATAAATTTTATGGACACAAAAGACCCAGAATAGCAACAGCAATCTTGAAAAATAATAACAAACGTGGCAGCATCACACTACCTGACAATAAACTATACTTTAAGGCCATAGTAATAAAACAGCACGGCACTGGCATAAAAACAAACACACAGATAGATGGAACAGAATAGAGAGCCCAGAAGCAAACCCATGCCCATATGGTCAATTAATCCATGACAAAGGAGACAAGAACATGCAATGGGATAAGACAGTCTTTTCAATAAATGGTGCTGGGAAAATTGGACAGGTCTAGGCAAAAAATTTTTTAAAAGAAACTATACCACCTTCTTACAACATATGCAAGAATAAACTCTAAATAGATTAAAAACTGAAAACTATAAAACTAGAAGCAAACAGAGGCAGTAAAGTCTCTGACATTTAAAAAATATATATTTTATTGATTTTTCACAGAGAGGAAGAGAGAGGGATAGTGAGTTAGAAACATCGATGAAAAAGAATCATCAATCAGCTGCCTCTTGCACACCCCCTACTGGGGATGTGCCCGCAACCAAGGTACATGCCCTTGACTGGAATCAAACCTGGGACCTTTCAGTCCACAGGCTGATGCTCTATCCACTGAGCCAAACCGGTTTCAGCCATTTTTTGTAGCAGTATTTTTTTCTGACATATCTCCTCAGTTAAGGGAAACAAAAGAAAAATAAACAAATGGAACTACACAAAATTAAACAGTTTTTGCACAGCGAAGGAAACCATCAATAAAATGAAAAGAAGACCTACTCAATGGGAGAAAATAATTGCCAATGACACATCTGATAAGGGATTAATATAAAAATTTATAAAGAACTCAGACAACATCCAAAAAAGAGCAAACAACCCAATGAAAACAAACGCCCCCTCCCCCAGACAACACAAATATTTACTACTTTGACTGTTAGAGGCAGCAGCCCTGAAAAGTCAGGACTACCGTGTTTCCCCGAAAATAAGCATTCTCCGAAAATAAGACCTAGTGCAACTTTGGGAGAAAATGAATGTAAGAGCCTGTCTTATTTTCGGGGAACAGGGTATATTCAGGATGCAGTGGCAGACCGAGGAGGTGGACTCGATTCAGAGCTCCGGCATATGCTGAGGAACGAGAGAACTCTTGTTAGTTGGCCCACAGCTAGTCACCGGTTAGTTACTCCTGTTCTCTCTCCAGCAACTTAATTTAGAATTTTCTCTGGTTAGTACATCACTTTTTACCCATGGCCCACAGGGAGTGACAGATGCAGGCGGTGTGAGGGGACACACAGACATTTCTGGAGTGCAGGCCAGCGTGTGGACGAAGAGCTCACTGCCAGCAGGAAATCAAAGGAACGGCGACCAGGGGACGAATAAGCTCCCAAGTCCTTGCTGTTAGCAAGTCAGTAGAGAACACCAGGTTTCAAAAATATTATTTGTTTTTTATTTTTTAAAATATATTTTATTGATTTTTCACAGAGGAAGAGATAGGGATAGAGAGTTAGAAACATCGATGAGAGTCATCGGTCAGCTGCCTCCTGCACACCCCCTACTGGGGATGTGCCTGCAACCAAGGTACATGCCCTTGACTGAAATCGAACCCGGGACCCTTCAGTCTGCAAGGTAATGCTCTATCCATTGAGCCAAACCAGTCTCGGCTCAAATATTATTTGAATATTAAAGAAAAAGGTAACTTCTTTTGTTTTTTTCTTTTTTAAAAATATTTTTATTGATTTCAGAGAGGAAGGGAGCAGGAGAGAGAGATAGAAACATCAAAAATAAGAGAGAATCCTGAAGGGTCCCAGGTTCGATTCCGGTGAAGGGCATGTACTTTGGATGCGGGCACTGGGGGTGTGCAGGAGGCAGCTGGTCTATGTTTCAAGCTCTCTATCCCTCTCCCTTCCTCTCTGTAAAAAAATCAATAAGATACACACACACACACACACACACACACACACACACAACCAGATCTGAAATACCATGGCTGACATGTTTGACATTGAAACTGGGACTCAAAAGAACTGTTGGCCCAGAAAGGAATTCACTTCAGACTGATTCATTTGCCTCTCAGCATAGCCATTATGGCTTGTCTCAGTTTCGGTCCTTATAAGGGAATTCCTTGTATCACATGATCTCACACATCTAGGGGAAATAATGAACAACATAGACTGATGAACAAAAAAGACCCAGAGACAGAGAAGCAGCGACCAGAGTGTCAGACCTCAGAGGGAAGGTAGGGGAGGGTGGGGGAAAAGGGAGAGATCAACCAGAGGACTTGTGTGCATGCATTAAGCCTAACCAGTGGCCATGGACAACAGGGGGTGGGCATACGTGGGGAGGGGTTTGGGATGGAATGGGGGGATGAGGACAATTATGTGACACCATAATCAATAAAGAAAAAAGAAGAAAAAAAGAGACTCCTTAATTGGCTGCCTCCTGCACACCCCCTACTGGGGATCAGCCTGAAACCCAGACATGTGCTCTGACCGGAATCCAACTGTGACCTTCTGGTTCATAGGTCAGCACTCAACCACCGGCTGCACCGCCGCTTCTGGAGCAACCTGGAGCTCCCCAAGCTGTGCGCCCCGTTAGATAGCCAAGGCCAGTGCACATTAACAGGGACTGGCGCAGAAGGCGAGCATTTCTGGTCTTGGCCTTTTTCTCAGACATCTGAGGATGCTGAGAAAAGCCGTGGAGCTTGAGGAAATGGCCGCTTAGGAATCCGTATAACAATCTGTCTCCCCTTGTGAACTGATTGAGAACGTGCCGGTCTTCAACATGTTTTGTATCCCTAGCGCAGTTGTAGGAAGGAGCTCAATAAAGGAGAATCGTTGAATGAACAGGAGTGTGAGGCACAGTGCCCGGGAGGCGGTGCAGTCCCCCGGCCCGGTGCACGACGGAGGAACCAGCACCGGAGTCCCCCCCAGTGCACGCCCGGGACGAGGAACGGACGCCCCAGGCCGGAGGGAGACCTGCGGGGCCTGCTTTCTGGGGGCGGGGCTGAAAGACAGCCGCCTCCGCCACTCAGCGCCCGGCACCGCGCGCGGGGCGGAGACTCGCTGTCCCGCCGTTCAAACGAGCCAATGAGCGCCCGCGTCCCCGCGCTGGCCCTGGAGCTCGCAGCCCTCCGGCCCGTCACGCCCCGGCCCCGCCTCCGCGCACAAAATGGCGGCGCGCGGCGGGGCGCAGGGGCTCGGCTGAGACCCCCTTCCCCGCGCCCTCCCGGGGCGCAGGGTGCCGCGAACCCAGGAGAGGGCCGGGCGGGACCGGGCCCCTGCGCGGCGGGGCGCGAGCCACGCCCGGCCCGCGCCGCCCCTCCCGGCCCCGCCAGCGTCCCAACCGCTCTCGGCCCCCGCTCCGCCCGCCGGGCCGCGGGGTCTACACAGCCGGCCTCTCCTCCCGCCCGGGCTCACCTCCGCCGGGAGATGTCCGGCCCCTCCCCTCCCAAACGGCCCGCCTTCCGGGCCGGGCGTCCCGGGCCCCGGGCCCCCCACTGAGACCCGCACCCCAGCCCGCTTCCTCCTCAGCGCCGATTCTCGCCCTCTGCGGGAGACTTCGTCCTCCTTCCAGAGTAAGCCTCCTTCCGCCCGCCCCCCAGCACACCTCCGGCACCGCCCCCACCCGCCCTCTGCCCGCCATGGAGGCTGTGTACCTGGTGGTGAACGGGGTGGGCCTGGTGCTGGACGTGCTGACCTTGGTGCTGGATCTGAACTTCCTGCTGGTGTCCTCCCTCCTGGCCTCCGTGGCCTGGCTCCTGGCCTTCGTCTACAACCTGCCGCACACCGTGCTCACCAGCCTCGTGCATCTGGGCCGCGGCGTCCTGCTGTCGCTGCTGGCCTTGATGGAAGCCCTGATGCGGCTCACCTTCGGGGGCTTCCAGGCGCTGTGGACCCTGCTGCACAGCTGCTGCTCCGGCCTCGAGAGCCTGAAGCTGCTGGGGCACCTGGCCTCGCACGGGGCCTGGAGGAGCCGGGACTTCCTGCACCGAGGCCTCCTCCATGTGGTCTCCAGCGGCCACACTCTGCTGCGCCAGGCCTGCGACGTCTGCGCCATCGCCATGAGCCTGGTGGCCTACGTGATCAACAGCCTGGTCAATATCTGCCTCATTGGCACTCAGAACCTCTTCTCCCTGTTGCTGGCCCTGTGGGACGCCGTGATGGGGCCGCTGTGGAGGATGACGGACGTCATGGCCGCCTTCCTCGCGCACATTTCCAGCAGCGCCGTGGCTATGGCCATCCTCCTCTGGACCCCATGCCAGCTAGCAATGGAGCTCCTGGCCTCGGCTGCCCGCCTCGTGGCCAGTTTCGTGCTTGTCAATCTCACTGGCCTGGTGCTGCTGGCTTGCGTGCTGGCGGTGACGGTGACCGTGCTGCACCCAGACCTCACCGTGAGGCTGGCCACCCAGGCCCTCGGTCGGCTCCACGCCCGCCCGTCCTACCACAGGCTTCGAGAGGACGTCACGCGGCTGTCTCGCCTCGCACTGGGCTTGGAGGTTTGGCACCGAGTCTGGAGCCGCAGCCTGCAGCTGGCAAGCTGGCCGAATTGGGGAGGGGCACCCGGGGCTCCCCAGGGTGGCCCTAGAAGGGTGCCTGCAGCCAGGACCTCGCAACAGGCCACTCTTCCAGAAGCAGGGCCCAGACCAGAGGCAGGAGAGGAAGAAGGTAGAACGGCCAGAGTGGCCGCTGCCTGGGGCAGGGAGCGGCTCAACGAGGAGCCGGGAGCCGGGCAGGACCCGTGGAAGCTGCTGAAGGAGCAAGAGGAGCGGAAGAAGTGCGTCATCTGCCAGGACCAGAGCAAGACCGTGCTGCTGCTGCCCTGTCGGCACCTGTGCCTCTGCCAGGCCTGCACCGAGATCCTGATGCGCCACCCCGTCTACCACCGCAACTGCCCACTCTGCCGCCGCGGCATCCTGCAGACCCTCAACGTCTACCTCTGAGGACCCCCTCCCTGCCCCTCCATGCACGCACCACAGCCACCTGACTGGGACAGCATTCACAGCTGCCGCCGGTCCTGGCCTGAGGCGCCTTTTGCCCTGTGGCTGTCATGACAAGCCTCCCAGCCATACGTCCGGGACATTGAGATGGACACCCTGGAAGACAGTGGCCTGGGCGGGGCAGGTTAGCAGCTTCTCCACTCGGGAGGTCCCTGTGACGCTGAGGGTGGTGCGTCCCTGTGCCACGCCCTGAGACTGTTTGCTGTCGCCTCCTTTCCAGCTTGCCAAGGCCCACCCAATGCCAGCCTCGGGCCCCTCCTCTGCTTCTGTTTGCTGCTGTTGGGGGTTTGCAGGTCCTCTTCCTAGCTTCTGTGGCCACAACGCACCAGTGTGATTTGTGTATTTGGCAACTTAAGGGCCTTGAGATGATCTTGAACCTTTGCTTTTAGCCAGAACTCCTGTTTTGGGGGTGGTGTCTCGCAGATGCCTAGAGCTTTTGCCTGCCATAATCTTCTGAAGCTCCTTCCCAACCTCATCCAGCAGCTGGGGTTGAAGTTTATCTGCGTGTGTGTGTATGTGTGTGTGTGTAGCTGTATCTGGCTTCGGGACCATGATTCCTCGCATCCCAGCTCCACTGGAGCCTCAGGAGAGAAAACAGATTTCTATTCCTGTCCTTCCATTCCCACGTCACAGGAAAATGGCATTCCCCTCCTGTTTGTCTCCCCGGCACTGGGGAAGGCAGACTGCACATTCCACTGTGGCCCACACAGTAGGGCCAGGGCCAGGGGCATATAGTTCCCTGAGGGGTCTTCTGGCTCAGTTTCCAGTGAATAAAGTTTTGTTGACAACCCTGACGGCCTCTGTAGCATCCTTGCGAGGTGAACACCTGGTCAGCAAGACTGACACTACAGCAGGTCCTTCAGTCCTGCTAGTCACCAGAGTCATCTGTGGGGGAACTGGTGGGGGAGGGAAGGTAGGACGGGAGCCCTGTGCCTTGGGGAGACCAGCGGTGTGGCTGGGTTGGCTTTTACCAACTCAATTTGTGTCCTCACACGAGCAGCCTTCGCATGTCTCCTGTCCTCTTTTTGCCGGAGCCCCAGTAGGGAGAAGTGGGAGCTTTCTCACGCCAGCCTTCCCTCTGGTGCCACTCTTCCCAGGAGGGACCCTGGGGTTCCTGCTGCTGGTGTCCAGTCTCCTCTGGTCCCTGAGGAGCAGGGGCTTGTCCTGTGTTTCTGGGCAGAGACCCTGATGGACCTGGTGGAGAGCAGGGAGCTGACGCTCAGTACTCCGGAGGCCTGTCTCCAGCTCACCCCAGACCCCATTGGTCACATCTGCCCTCATGGTCAGCAAGAGAGAGGGGAACATCCCCATAACTGTACTTAAATGTAGGAGCAGAATGCCAGGACAGCCTTCTGGAAGTGGGGGAAGAGGGAAGTGGAGAGCCCTCTGCTTTGTCGGGTTGAGAGGCTGGGCTGATGTGGGCCTTGCAAGCCCTGTTTGCTAGCTCTGGGTTGGGGTGTGGGGCTAGGGCTGCTTCGGAAGGTCAGAAGAGAGGAGCTTTGGAGGACTCAGACTTGGCACAGCTCACCCAGCCCGTGGGGTGGGGAGTTGGTGGAAACCAGCTTGAAGTTGGGAGGCCTGTTTCTACCCTCCCAACCCTGGAGAGCTGAGCGAGGAGAGCCTTGGCTCCTAGCACTGTTTACAGTGAGGATAAACGTTTTGGGAGAGAAGATAAACTTCCTGAGCAGGGAGCAGAAGACTCTCCCCTCCACCCCCAACAGGCATTCCATTGGCCAACCTCCACACGTTCCTCCCCCAACCAACCTAGGAGTCAAGAGCCCAAGCTGCCCTGGCCGGTTTGGCTCAGTGGATAAACTTGGATCTGCCTACGGACTCAAGGGTCCCAGGTTAGATTCTGGTCAGGGCACATATCCGGGTTACAGGCTCCATCCCCAGTGGGGGGCGTGCAAGAGGCAGCCAATCAGTGAATCTCATTATTGATGTTTCTCTCTCAAAAAACAAAAAAACAAAAACAAAATTCAAGCTGCCCAGGGTCATTGCTGTTGCATTCTAGAGCGGGCGCGCCCTCTTATGGCCACCTCAGAAACTACTCTAGACCCCAGGGACACTTCCCTCCCTGGCAATGGGGGTGAGGGAGGAGCAGCCTTCCTCCCCGCCATCTAGGGACCAAGCCAGCAGCAGGAAAACGGGCCAGGAAGAAGCCGGCTTGGTTTCCGTTGGCCAGATCACGGGTGTGTGTACAAGTAGCCCCTCCCAGGGCACAGGACACTGAATTCGGAAGTGGCCAGAGCTCACCTCCCTCAGCCAGGGAGCCCCTCCCTCGGGCCTGCGCGGTCTCCCCTGCCCTCAGGGCGTCTGGCCGAGGGCCCTCCCTCCCCCCCCCCCCCCCCCCGCTCCATCTCCTCGCTTTCCCCGCCCTCAGGCCCAGAGCATCTCCACCTCCAACCATCGAAACTCAGCCAGGCGCAGGGCTTGTAGATTTATTGAACGGCCTCCACCGAAAGGGCCCAGGAGCCCGAGGGGCAAGGGGAGAGGGAGAGAAGCAGAGTATAGGGAGAGAGCACCCGAGGGCGGTGGGGGGGGGGGGGGTCTGGGCCAGAGAACCCCACCTGCCAGCACAGGCTGGGTCTCCCAGAGGCCTTGAGCAGACAGCAGGGCGCCCCTCCTCACTCACAGCCTCCCGTGACAGGGGCCCCCGCCCGGGGAGCGAGGGCATCAAGCGAAGACAGGGGAGCCGTGCCAGTCGGAGTACACCAGGAACCCGGAGAAGGTGCTGTCCGTCTTGACGCTGGCGTAGATGCCCACGTAATCGCCCACCCCGACCTGCACCCACACCTGGTCCTCGGGCTCCAGCCTCAGCATGGCGCCGCCCGACAGCGAGGCGGGCTTGGGCCAGCCCCCGAAGAACTGGAAGAAGGAGGCCACGGCCTCGCCGTTCTTGACCAGGTCGAAGTGCAGGCTGGCGCGGAAGACGGTGGCGTGCACCGCGAAGTAGTAGACGCCGGGCACGCGGCAGGTGAACTTGCCCGAGGCCGCGTCGTAGTGGCCCTGCTCGTTCAGCAGCACCCGCTCGAAGGGCAGCGGCGCGTCCGGCGGCGGCGGCTCCCGGCTCTCGGCGCGCCTGGCGCTGAAGGCGGAGCGCGGGGGCACCGCGCACTCCCCCGCCGGCCCCGCCGCGCCCGCCGCGCCCGCCTCTCCGCGCGGCCCGGGCTCCCCGCGGGGCCCCGGCAGTCCTGCGGGAACGGGAGGGTTCGCGGGCTCGGAGGGCGACCCTGGGGACCGCGCGTCCCCTCCGAGCTCCGCAGCCGCCGGCCCCGCCCTGCCCCCGGCCCGCGTCCCGGAGCGCGGTCTGACCCGCTGGGTCCCGGAGCGCCGCGGGCGGGCCCCCTCCTCCCTCCCCGGCCAGGGGCGCGGCTGGTCCGGGGGAGCGCCCCCCGCCCGCCCCGGGAGGCCGCCCCCCGCCCGCCCGCCCGCGGCCCCGGCCCCCGCCTTACCCGGCCGCCCGCCCTCGCCCTTCTCTCCGGGCGCCCCGCGCGCGCCGTCCCTGCCGTCCCTGCCGTCGCGGCCGGGCAGGCCCTGGGCGCCGTGGTGGCCGGGCGTGCCGGGGAGGCCGGGGTGCCCCGGGCACAGGCTGGGGATCTTGTTGTCGTCGGGCGGGGCCGCGCCGGCCGCCAGGCGCAGGAGCAGCAGGGCGAGCAGCAGCCTCATGGCGCGCGCGCGGCCGACGCCGTCCTCCCGCCGCGGGCGGGCGGGGTGCCCAGCCTCCGGGCCGGCCTGGCCCCCACCCCGCGGCCCCCAGCCGGGAGCGGAGCGGCCGGAGACGAAGAAAAGGGCGCCCCTCGCCCCGAGAGCGCAGCGGGAGGAGAGGGGAGCCCCCGGCGGCCCGCCCCGCCCCGCGCCGCGCCGGGAGGAAGCCCAGGCCCGGCGGGAGGAACTCTGGTGCCCGGCGGGCGGCCAGGCTGCGGGGGGAGGGGAGGGGAGCGCCGGCCGGCCGCGGGGACAGACAGACACGCCGGCCCTGCGGCTCCGGGGGCGGTCGGGGAGGTGTTGCCCGAGAAATGTGCGCGGAGAAGAGGGCCGAGAGGGCTGCAGGCAGAAGGCAGACGTCTGGGTCCCGGCCCAGGACAGGCCCGTACAGCCCAGGCACTCGGGGAACAAACAAAACGGTCCGAGGCTGGGGCCGAGCCCTGGCCGGTGTGGTACAGTGGGTAGAGCGCGACCTGCGGACTGAGGGGCGTGCAGGAGGCAGCCGACCCATGATTCTCTCCCATCATGGATGTTTCCATCTCTCCCTCTCTCTTCCTCTCTGAAGGCAATAAAAATACATTTTAAAAGGTGGGTGACGGAGACACCTGGAGAAGCAGATGGAGGGGGAGGCAGGAGACAGGAATGGGGGTCGGGCTTAGTGGGAAGCGGCTGGGTTGCCAAGGGCACAGCTGGAGGTGCAGGGACAGAAGGAGCCTGCGGAGGGTCCCTCCTCCTCGAGGCCCCAGAAGGCCCGGCTGCCCCGTAGGCAGTGGGCGGGCGGAGGGCGGGCCCCGAGGGCGTCAGGGCTGGGCACATGCTTCCACGCCCGCGGCCTCGGGCAGCCGGTTGCAGTTGAAGGGCCAGGGGGTACCCAGCAGTGCCAGGCCAGACTGGCATCGGTGCTCCGCCTCCTGGCAGACAGAGCGGCACGGGGGGAGCACGCTGCCCAGCGGGGTGCAGCGGGGCACCAGCAGCCCGCAGAGGAGCCTCCGGAGGCTCGGGTAGCAGGGAAGGCGGGCCAGGCTCTGCGGGAGGAGGTCAGCCTCAGCCGCGCCCAGCGTCCGCCCCACCCCGCCCCTCCTCCCCTCCCGCACCTCGTGCTGTCTGAGCACCTCCCCCGCCTCCTCCTGGGCGGCTGCGCCGGTCCAGATGTTCGGGAAGGCGGTGGCGTTGTAGCTGAGCCCCAGGCACATGGCCACGCGGACGGGCTCACAGGCCGGCGCTGCGGGCAGGGGTCACGTGGGTCCACGCCCGGGGGTGGCCGCCGGCGCCCAAGCCCTCTAAGGGTCCGAGGGGGTGGTGAGCGTCATAGGGGACAGACGGAGGGAGAGGCCTTCACGCCTCTCTGAGCGCCATGGCCGGCCCTGGCACAGGCAGGCCTCTTTTAAAACAGCCTGCTAGCCTGCCAGGCTCTGTCCGAGGCCGGATCCAGGCCGCTCACCTGGAGGGGGACATGGGGGGGACACGGGGGACCCAGGCTGCTCACCTGGAGGGAGGACACGGGGGGGACAACGGGGGACCCAGGCTGCTCACCTGGAGGGAGGACACGGGGGGGACATGGGGGACCCAGGCTGCTCACCTGGAGGGGGGACACGGGGGACCCTGGCTGCTCACCTGGAGGGGGGACACGGGGGACCCAGGCCGCTCACCTGGAGGGGGACATGGGGGACACGGGGGACCCAGGCTGCTCACCTGGAGGGGGGACATGGGGGGGACACGGGGGGACCCAGGCTGCTCACCTGGAGGGGGGACACGGGGGGACCCAGGCTGCTCACCTGGAGGGGGCACACGGGGAGGGACACGGGGGACCCAGGCTGCTCACCTGGAGGGGGGACATGGGGGGGACACGGGGGACCCAGGCTGCTCACCTGGAGGGGGGACATGGGGGGGACACGGGGGACCCAGGCTGCTCACCTGGAGGGGGGACATGGGGGGGACACGGGGGGACCCAGGCTGCTCACCTGGAGGGGGGACACGGGGGACCCTGGCTGCTCACCTGGAGGGGGGACATGGGGGGGACACGGGGGGGGACCCAGGCTGCTCACCTGGAGGGGGGACACGGGGGACCCTGGCTGCTCACCTGGAGGGGGACATGGGGGGGACACGGGGGACCCTGGCTGCTCACCTGGAGGGGGGACACGGGGGACCCAGGCTGCTCACCTGGAGGGGGGACATGGGGGGGACACGGGGGGGACCCAGGCTGCTCACCTGGAGGGGGGACACGGGGGGACCTGGCTGCTCACCTGGAGGGGGGACACGGGGGACCCAGGCTGCTCACCTGGAGGGGGACACTGGGGACCGGGCTCACGGGGACACGGGGGGGACCCAGGCTGCTCACCTGGAGGGGGGACACGGGGGACCCTGGCTGCTCACCTGGAGGGGGACACGGGGGACCCAGGCTGCTCACCTGGAGGGGGGACACGGGGGGACCAGGATGCTCACCTGGAGGGGGGACACGGGGGACCAGTATGCTCACCTGGAGGGGGGACACGGGGGGACCAGGATGCTCACCTGGAGGGGGGACACGGGGGGACCAGGATGCTCACCTGGAGGGGGGACATGGGGGGGACACGGGGGGACCAGGATGCTCACCTGGAGGGGGGACACGGGGGGACCAGGATGCTCACCTGGAGGGGGGACACGGGGGGACCAGGATGCTCACCTGGAGGGGGCGACACGGGGCCGCACTGGGCGGGGCTGCCCTCTGCACAGTCTGGCCGCAGGTCACACATCCAGCGCCGACACCCCGGGTCCTGGCAGGAGGGCCCCGTGGGCCCACAGGGCTCTGCAGGTGCAGGGAGGGCAGTGCCCCACTGGCTCTGCGGTGCCCCACCGGACCTCAGCCCTGCCCTCTGCCCTCCTCTCCCAGAGGCACCCCATGCCCACACCCACCTGCCCAGGCACCTACTCTCTGAGGCGTCCAGGGCCCGGTAGGTGGCCGAGAAGCCCCCGGAGCCACGGCCTGCCCTGAGGAGCACGGCCAGCCGGGGGCGCGAGGAGAGGAGGCGGGGTGGCGGCTCTGCCCCACAGAACCTGCGGCAAGAGCGGCCCTGGGTGCGGCCTGAGGCCCCCAGGCCACGGAGCTCGGCGCCTGGGTGAGGCTGGAGCGGGTGGGAGACCCTCCTGGGGCATGGGACTTAGGGTCTGAGGGGGAGGCACGCGTGCAGGGGACGAAGTGCCAACCAAGGGAGCTCCGGCCCTGGGGATGGGGAAGTCCGGGCGCGCAGCGGGGCGGCCTCCTGGGGGCGGGGGCGGGGACAGTGCGGACACCTGCTGGGAGGAGCCGAGGGACCGGAAGTGAGGGAAAGGTTGGCGAATCGCTAGGAAGCGGGCGTGGTTACTGCGGAGGAAGGCAGGGCCGCCGGGGACTCCTGCGCTCAGATACCTGCCCAGGAGGCCCAGGGCCCCCGAGCTGCCGGCCTCGTACACCGCCACGTGGTCGGACTGACACTCCCCCTGGGCGTCCAGGTTGAAGGTGAGGAACTGCAGTTCTACGCCATGTCCGGCGGGGACGGAGATGTGCCAGGTGCAAAGCTGGGGGCACAGCTGGCATCATTCCAGGTTCCTGCTGTCCCTATGATCGCCCAGGCTAGGCCTGGAAGGGTGGGCACTGCCCACAGCTCCTCAGAGGTGCTTCTCCAGACAGGAAGGGCCTTCCTACTTGTCTGCTCTCAGGGACCAACGGGGATGGAATGACTAGGTATACAGTAGGCACTTAATGCTCCCTTCCTGTCCAGCTGTGTGGCTCAATGGTTGACCATCAATCTATGAACCAGGAGGTCACGGTTCGATTCCTGGTCAGGGCACAGGCCTGGGTTGCAAGATTGATCCCCAGTGTGGGACGTGCAGGAGGCAGCCGATCCATGATTCTCTCTCATCATGGATGCTTCTCTCTCTCCCTCTCCCTTCCTCTCTGAGATTAATAAAAATACATTTAAAAAAAATAAAAATAATACTCCCTTCCTGTCTGCTTGACCTCTGACCTTCCCAAGGACAAGGCCGTGTCTGCTGTGCTGTTCTCAGTCAGCCAGGCCAGATGCCACCTGCCCTCTCCATGGATGCCAGCTTACCAGTCGCTGAGGGTACCCCTGCAGGAAGCTGGGAGCAGAGAAACTTCCCTGGAGCCCCGTCAGGTTCCCGCCACATCCTGTCGAGAGGAGGAGGCGTGCTGGCCGGCCTCTGGCCTCTGTCCGCAGGCTGGCCGCGCCGCGGGGAACAGGGCCCCGCGGTTAGGGCGGGGCCAGACCGGGAGCCCAGCCTGCACCGGATCAGACCTGAAGCCCCTGAGGGGGTGCTGCAGTCGCCCTGGTCCCTGCCGTCAGCGCAGCGGGGGAGCCCGTCGCACGCCGAGCCGGGGGGCAGGCAGGTGAGCTGGTCGCAGGCGACCTCGTCCTGGGCACAGCTCCCTGGGGTGCGGAGCGTCCGGAGTCAGGACCGCCAGAGCCTCCCTGCCTGCGGTGCTGGGGGTGTCGGGGAGGAAGGGACCTGCGGCCGCTGGGCCCCCCCCCCCCCCCCCCCCGCACACGCTCACCGCGCCCCCGGGCCACGGCCTGGAACCAGGCCCGGAAGCCTCGCCCCTCCACGCTGCTGTCCGAGACGAAGGCCACGCGGAGGCGGCTGGCGTTGGTGTGGAGTGTGGGGGGCGGGTCCCTGCCGCACAGCCTGCAGGAAGCCGGGGAGGGCGAGGGCTCAGGGCAGCCTGCGCCTGCTGTGCCCATGTGGTCCTGCCGTGTCCCAGGGAGCTCTGGCTTCCTCCCGCTGGGCACCCAGCTCTGCACACTTTTCTTTTTAAAAATGCATTTTTAGCCGAAACCGGTTTGCTCAGTGGCCTGTGGACTGAAAGGTCCCGGGTTCGATTGTGGTGTGTAGGAGGCAGCTGATCGATTATTCTCTCATTGATGTTTCTAACTCTATCCCTCTCTCGTCCTCTCTGTAAAAAATGAATAAAATATATATTTAAAAATGTATTTTTATTGATCTCAGAGAGGAAGGGAGAGAGACATAGATGATGAGAGAGAATCATCGATCAGCTGCCTCCTGCACCCCCCCCCCCACTGGGGCTCGAACCCACAACCCAGGCATCTGCTCTTGATGGGAATCAAACTCGAGACCCTTCAGTCTAAAGGTTGACGCTCTATCCACGGAGCCACACCGTCTGGGCCTGGCGACATTTCTTGATGAGAAAGGAGGTCGAGGCTCCAGTTTACAGATTTGGAAACTGGCAGACGGGAAGTGACCTTCCCAAGGTCATAGAGCAAGAGGGCAGCAGAGCTGTGCTCGGCTGTGGAGACTGTTTCCTCCCGATCAGGCCTTTCCCCCCCCACTTCCTGGCGCTGCCTCCCAGACAGGGACTCAGGCAGGTGGGGCTGGGGCTGGGGCCACCTGAGGAGGGGCCCTTCCGGCTCTGGGGAGATTTCCAAGCGGTCGAAGAGGCAGGAGGCCGTGCCCTCCGTGCCCAGAGCTTCGATCCGGAGCTGTATGGCCCGGTCTGCGGGCACCCGGATGTGCCACACACAGTGGGTGTCGGGCGGATAGGGGTCTGGGTAGTTGGGGCTGCTGAAGACGCCCTGTGGTCCAAGGAGGAGGCCCCCACAGGCTGCGGAGACAGCGGTTAGAGCTCAGAGGTCAATGGGGAGAGACCCTTCCCCAGCCCGTGCCTCTTCCAGCCCCCCGCCCCCGCTCATGCCCCCCTCAAGGTCAGCCCGTGACACTCACAGGCCTGGGGCGCCAGGCTCAGGCCCGCCTCTCGCTGCCCCTTGGGGGTCCCCGAGGTGGCGGTGGCGGCAGGGGTGCCAGAGATGCCGAGGCCCCTGGCGGGCAGCGGAGGAGAGGAAGCTCCGGGTGGGGGTGCAGCCTGCAGCTCTGGAAGCAGGAAGGGGGAGGGGAGGCTCAGAGGGGCTGAGCCCTGGGGGAAGCGGGGCACAGCTCGGGCGTCCAAAGCCCTCTCCCGCAGGCGGCACTCACGGGCCAGCAGGACGGCCACCAGCCCCAGCAGCCCCAGCAGCAGGCTGGCCAGCAGCAGGGCGCACAGCCCTCCGAAGTGCCAGTCGGGTGGCAGCCCTCCGGGACGCCAACCTGTGGGCAGATGGGGTCGGACTGAACCCCGCTCCGCGGCACCCTCCGGTGCCCCTCAGCCCGGCCTCTGGGTCCTCCCCCGCAGCACCCCAGACGCTACCGTGCCAGGCAGCGCGGGCAGGACGGCGGGCATCCCCCCAGGAGGCGGGTGGCGGGTGAGGCGGCCCCCACTCGGGCTCGAAGGCGGGGTTGCAGAATTCGGTCTGTGAGAGAGGCGGAGGGCTGAGGGCAGGGCACCGCGGGGGGGGGGGGCAGCTGGGTCTGAGTGGCTCTCGGCGGCCTCACCTGGCTCAGCTCTGCGGACTCCACGCGCAGGACGGTGTCCGCGCCGTCCCTCATGCTCTTGCCGAAGCCGAACCGGGCGGCTCCTGACCCCGGCCGCCGGCTCCAGGGCCGCACTTGACAGGCCGGCTGGCGCTGGGGCTGTGCCCGGAGGGAGGGCGCGGCTGCCAGGAGGGATTTGCAAAGGGGGGACCGGCCCCTAATCCAACTCAGCTGAGGCCTGCGGGCCGCCCTGGCAGGCACTCGTGCTGCGCACATCCCACAGGAGAAACTAGGTGCTGTGCACGCGGGTGTGTGTATATGTGTGTGTATGTGTGTGCGTGTGTATATATGTGTGTATGTGTGTATCTGTGTGTGTGTGTGTGTGTGAGAGAGAGAGAGAGAGAGCGAGCAGGCAGTGTGGGTGCGCCTGAGGGGTGCTAGAAGGGAAGGCGGCCAGGGAGCTGAGTCCAGGCCCAGCTCCCCCCTGGCTCCCAGGACAGGATGAGAGCCCTGCGGGCAGACCGGCTGCTCAGGGCGGAGCAGTGAGGGGCGGACCCCCGCTGCCCTCAGCCTGCGAGAGGAGTGGGGGGGCGGAGAGGTGCCGCCTGGGCAGGAGGGCAGGAGGGCAGGGCACCTCTCCAAAGGGCTGGGCGTCCCAGCTACATCCACAACCAGAGCCTCCACGCTAACTCCCACCGGGGCGCTCCCTCCTCGCCGGGGCGCTCCCTCTCCACGGGGGCGCTCCCTCTCCACCGGGGTGCTCCCTCCTCACCGGGGTGCTCCCTCTCCACCGGGGCGCTCCCCCCTGCACCGGGCGCTCCCTCCCCGCCTGGGCGCTCCCTCCCCGTCTGGGCGCTCCCTCCCCGCCTGGGCGCTCCCTCCTCACCGGGGTGCTCCCTCTCCACCGGGGCGCTCCCCCCTGCACCGGGCGCTCCCTCCCCGTCTGGGCGCTCCCTCCCCGCCTGGGCGCTCCCTCCTCGCCGGGGTGCTCCCCCCTGCACCGGGGCGCTCCCTCCCCGCCTGGGCGCTCCCTCCTCGCCGGGGCGCTCCCTCTCCACCGGGCGCTCCCCCCCCCCACGCGCCGGGGCGCTCCCTCTCCACCGGGGCGCTCCCTCTCCACCGGGGCGCTCCCTCTCCACCGGGGCGCTCCCCCCTGCACCGGGCGCTCCCTCCCCGCCTGGGCGCTCCCTCCCCGTCTGGGCGCTCCCCCCCAACGCGCCGGAGCGCTCCCTCCCCACCGGGGCGCTCCCCCCGCATTGGGGCGCTCCCTCCGCACTGGGCGCTCCCAGGGAAGCCTGCCCGCCCGGCGCCCTCCCCCGGGGACACAGGGGTGGCTGCCTGGTCTGTGGGCGGCCGCCTGAGGGCGGGGAGGCAGCTGACAGCCACGGAGCCCCGGTGCCAGGCCCCGCAGAGCTCTGGCAGCAGTTTGTCTGTCCCTCCATGAGGTGGCACAACTATTTTCCAAAAGGTGGCTCCACGCTCACACCTGGGAGCGACAGAGACCAGAGCAGAATATGGGGCCAGGTGAATCCAAAGTGTTGGTCTGGCCCTGGCTGCTGTGGCTCAGTGGACAGAGCATCGGCCTGTGGACCAAAGGGTCCTGGGTTCGATTCTGGTCAAGGACACGTACCTGGGTTGCAGGCTCCTCCCTGGCCCAGGCCCTGGTCAGGGAGTGCAGGAGGCAACTGATCCATGTGTCTCTCTCACACCATGTTTCTCTCTGTCTCTCCCTCTCCCCACCCCCTCTCTAAAATCAGTGGAAACACCCTCGGGGAGAATGAACAAAGAACAAAGTGCTGGTCTTCTGCCCCCTCACCCACCCTGGCCCAGGAGGCCATCCTGTGACCGGAGGCAGCCCTGCCCCAGGCTCTGCCTGCTCCGCGGGGGCCTCGGCAGCTGTGTCCGCAGGCGGGGCTGCACAAGGATGCGCCAGCTGAAGGTCTCTCCGTAGCAGCACTGACGCCATCTCCACGTGCAGTGCCCCAGGCTGTGTGCTGTGTGTTCGCGGGACCTGCGTGCAGCGAAGGAGAACTCCCTGGGGGTTAGCGAGGTGGGCACTCACAAGACCTGCAAAAATGTAAAACTGCTACCCTGCTCGCTCGTTTCCTCCCTACCTCCTTTCCTTTCCTTTCCTTTCCTTTCCTTTCCTTTCCTTTCCTTTCCTTTCCTTTCCTCCTTTCTCCTTTCTCCTTTCTCCTTTCTTTCTCCTTTCTCCTTTCTCCTTTCTCCTTTCCCTCCCCTCCCCTCCCCTCCCCTCCCCTCCCCTGAGGATATCTTTCCATTGTTTCTAGGGAGAGTGGAAGGGAGTGGGAGAGACAGAGAGAAACACTGATGTGAGAGACACACCAATTGGCTGCCTCCTGCATGTACCCTGACCAGGGCTGGGGGAACCTGCAACCAAGGTTTGCGCCCTTGACCGGAATCAAATGCAGGACCGACCCTGCAAGTCTTGGGGCCGATGCTTTATCCACTGAGCCAAACCGGCCAGGGCATTAATTTCTTTTTGATCTGTAAAATGTAGTTTTTGAAAAAATGGACAATGTTATTTATCTTACTATAGAAAGGATTTACTGTTATTATTTTTTATTTTTTAAAATAGATTTTTATTGCCTTGACTGGTTTGGCTCAGTGGATAGAGCGTAGGCCTGTGGACTGAAGGGTCCCAGGTTTGATTCCAGTCAAGGGCATGTACCTTGGTTGCGGGTACATCTCCAGTAGGAGGTGTGCAGGAGGCAGCTGATGGATGTCTCTCTCATCGATGTTTCTAACTATCCTCTCCCTTCCTCTCTGTAAAAAAATCAATAAAATATCTTTAAAAATATATTTCTATTGATTTCAGAGAGGAAGAGAGAGGGAGAGAAAGAAGAAACATCCATGATGAGAGAGAATCATTGGTCAGCTGCCTCCTGCACGCCCCCCACTGGGGATGGAGCCTGAAACCCAGGCCTGTGCCTGATTGGGAATAGGTGGATGCTCAGCCGTGGAGCCACGTGGCCGGGCTGGAGTTCTCAGTCATTTCAGCACCCCCCCCCCCCCCCCCCCCAGAACTGCTGGTGCAGCGGACAGACATGAAGACAATTCACTGGGTTGAAGATCGGAGGTCGAATGGCCCTCGCTGGGGGCATGCAGAGGGCTTCCTGGGAGAGGTGGATACTGTCTGGAGTTTAAGGCTGGAAGGTATTTGAATGGGCAGACCTGGGGGGGTGAGTCCAGAAAGCAGGGGCCGAGCACATGGGTGGAGGGACTGGCGGACGGAGGGACGGGCCTGGCTTGGGAGCTGCTTTCAGCAGGATGGCTGGGCAGACTGGCCTTGGGGCGGTCATGTGCGGGGCCCAGTGTGCGGGAGGCGGGTCGGGAGCCTTCTCCCTGCTGGCTTTGCTAGGCCGCCCGGCGACGCGTCCGGCTGGCACCAGCGCTCTTGCCGTGGCTGCTTCACGTGGCCCCGGGGCCAGGCCCGGGGAGAGCGGCCCAGGGATGGCAGTGAGACAGGGAGCAGGGCCCTCCTCTCGTGGCCTCGTGTGACCTTCACAGCAGCCCTGGGCAAGGTCAGAGCTGCTTTTGTTCCCGTTTGGCAGATGGAACTGAGGCCCAAATGTGTGAGCTTTAGGAGCCGGGCTGCTGGACCCCTGGCTTCCCATTTTTGTCCCTTTCCTCTCCCTCCCTGCCCACGGCCAGGTCCTTTCTGTAAACCGTGCAGAGCAGTGGGGGCCAGAGGCCTGTGGGCAAGTACGAGGCCTTAGCTGGAGCCCAAGTGGGGAGGTGGCCCAGGCCGCACGCCGGGCCCAGCCGCTGCTTCCTCCTGGCCGCTGGGGGCCTGCTCCCTGCCCCAGGTCTGGCCCGGCCCTCCTGCTCGCACCCTAATTGCCAAAGATGGCCGTGGACAAGGCCTCCAGGCCCCAACTCCACAGCTTTGTGGAGACAAAAGGACACGCGCCTTCTGAGCATTAGTCACATGAAGTACATATATGCTCACATGTGCATTTTTTACATAGGGGTGGGTAAAAGTAGGTTTACAGTTGTAATACAAATAATGCAATAATACATAAATAAGAACACAAAAATAAACTGTGTTTTGTGTACCCACAACCGTACATCTACTTTTGCCCACTGGTATTTATTTATTTAATATATTTTTATTGCCGAAACCGGTTTGGCTCAGTGGATAGAGCGTCCGTCTGCAAACTGAAAGGTCCCAGGTTTGATTCCCGTCAAGGGCATGTACCTTGGTTGTGGGCACATCCCTTGAAGCGGTGTGCAGGAGGCAGCTGGTAGATATTTCTTCCTCATCAATGTTTCTAGCTCTCTATCCCTCTCCCTTTCTCTCTGTAAAAAAATCAATAAAATATATTTAAAATATATTTTTATCATTTTATTTTTTTAACAATATATTTTATCAAACCTGGGACCCTTGATTCCGCAGGCCGACACTCTATCCAGAGCAAACTGGTTTTAGGTTTTGTTTTTTTAAAATATATTTTATTGATATTTCACGGAGAGGAGGAAGGGAGAGAGACAGAGAGCTAGAAACGTCGATGAGAGAGAAACACCACCAGCTGCTCTTGCACACCCCCTACTAGGGATGTGCCCGCAACCAATGTACATGCCCTTGACCGGAATCGAACCTGGGACCCTTCAGTCTGCAGAACGGACGCTCTACCACTGAGCGAAGCTGGCTTTGGCTGGTTTTAGCTTTTTATCTTTTTAATGATTTCAGAGAGAAAGAGAGAGGGAGAGATAGAAACATCAATGGTGATGAGAACCATTGATTGGCTGCCTCCTGCATGCCCCACATTGGGAATTGCGCCCACAACCGGGTGTGTGTCCTTGATCAGAATTGAACCCGGGACCCTTAAGTCCACTGGCCAACGCTCTATCCACTGAGCCACACCGGCCAGGGTTGCGCACTTGCATTTCTATAGTAACTTCATGAACTGAAACCTGGGAACCAGAGCCATGTAAGTCTCCTTAGAACTCGGGGCACGTATTTGGAGAAGTGTCTGCAACGAGGACACGTGAGCGGAGACCGTTGAGGTTCACTAGCTTGATCTCCTTAAGTCAGACAGGCGTGCAGGCTCAGGAGGCGGAGGCCCGTGGAAGGTCCCACGGAGCAGGTGCAGGGGACTCGCTCCCCAGGCCTGCTGAAAGGCACGCGAAGAATGGGGGAGAAATCCCAGTTGCTAGGAAGCAAAGCTGACGGATAAAGAAACGGGGGCAGATTTTGTTTGCCATCTGGTAGCAGCAGGACCTGTTGCCACGGGGACGAGAAAGCACCTCAAGTTGAGTCTAGAAGGAAGAGCCAGGGACCAGGGCCCCCAGCCCGCCGCTCTCCGGAGAGGCATGCATTCTCAGGGAGGTGTGATTGGCTGGCCTGGCTCGGTGGGGAGTGTTGACCTATGAACCAGGAGGTCATAGTTCCCTTCTAGTCAGGACACAGGCCTGGGTTGTGAGCTTCACCACCAGTGTAGCCTGAGCAGTAGGCAGCTGATCAGTGATTCTCTCATCATTGATGTCTCTCTCTCTCCTTTGCTAAAATCAATAAAAATATATCATATAATAAAACCCTAATATACAAATTGACAGACTGGTGAAATGACTAGTTGCTATGACATGCACTGACTACCAGGGGGCATATGCTCAACACAGGAGCTGCCCCCTGGTGGTCAGTGCTCACGGCTGGCAAGCACAGTGGTGGTGGCAGGAGCCCCTCCTGTCTCCATGGCAGTGCTAGGGACCCTGGGGGATGCCTGCCTGCTGGATTCAGCCTGCAGGCAGACATCCCCCATCCCCCTAGGGTTCCGGACTGCCCAGTGCATGAATGTCATGCACCAAGCCTCTAGTATCCTATCTAATAAAGAGGGAATATGCTAATTGACCCTCCCATCATTGCAAAAATGGTGGTGCTCACAGCCAATAAGGAGGGAATATGCTAATTGACTGCCCCCCACCTTCAAAGATGGTGGTGCCCATAGCCACAAGATGGTGGTGCCCAGTCCCCTCAGCCCCACTGGGGCGCCTGCCTCCAGAGTCACTTAGTCCCCTCAGCTCCCCACCGCCCAGGGTCAGCTCGAGGCACAGGCAAGCCTCTGCTGTTGGCTGCCCAGCTGCCCAGGGACCCTGAGGCTCAGGTAACCAGGGCCGGCCAAGCCTTGCGCTGCCGGCAGTGGCAGCAGCAGAGGTGTGATGTGGGCGTCGCCTCCTGCCCTTGAGGGCTCCCAGTGTGTGCGAGGGGGCAGGCTGTGGAGGGATGCCCTTCAGCGCATGGATTTTCATGCATCGGCCTCTAGTCTGGATAAAATGGGGAGGCATAGCAGCTGACACGGACGGGGCTCTCCTGTTCACCTTGCTCTAACCCCCTTCATCCTGTGGGCCGCCCCATTCCCGGGGCTTCGGTCAGTCATCAGTGTTTAGAACCTTATTCGGGCGGACGCTCCAGGGCAGGGCAGGGAGAAATGCAGTGGGTGTTTCCAATCCCCCTTTTTTTTTTTTTAAAAATATATTTTATTGATTTTTTACAGAGAGGAAGGGAGAGAGAGAGTTAGAAACATCAATGAGAGAGAGTCATCGATCAGCTGCCTCATGCACACCCCCTACTGGGGATATGCCCGCAACCAAGGTACATGCCCTTGACCGGAATCGAACCCGGGACCCTTCAGTTCCCAAGCTGACGCTCTATCCATTGAGCCAAACCGGTCTCAGCTCCAATCCCCTTTTCACTCCTGGAAATGCCCAAATGCCCTCTCCGCCGCCTGCCTGCTCGGTGAGTCTGACAGCAGGTGCCACTGTCTCAGCAAGGATGGAATGGCAGGACGTGACTTTTCTTTTACTTTAAAAAAATATATATAGCCGAAACCGGTTTGACTCAGTGGACAGAGCATCAGTCTGCGGACTGAAGGGTCCCAGGTTCGATTCTGGTCAAGGGCATGTACATTGGTTGCGGGCACATCCCCAGTAGGGGGTGTGCAAGAGGCAGCTGGTTGGATTCTCTCTCATTTAAAAAAAAAAAATATTTTTTATTGATTTTTTTTAGAGAGGAAGGGAGAGGGATAGAGAGCTAGAAACATCGATGAGAGAGAGACATCGATCAGCTGAGTCCTGCACAGGGGATGTGCCCGCAACCAAGGTACATGCCCTTGACCGGAATCGAACCTGGGACCCTTCAGTCCGCAGGCCGACGCTCTATCCACTGAGCCAGACCGGTTTCGGCTCTCATTGATGTTTCTATCTATCTCTCTCTCTCCCTTCCTCTCTCAGAAAAATCAATAAAATATATTTAAAAAATATATATTTTTATTGACTTTATGGAGGAAGGGGAGAGACAGAAACATCACTGATGAGAATCATTGACCGGCTGCCTCCTGCACGCCCCCCACTGGGAATCGAGCCCGCAATCTGGGCCTGTGCCCTGACTGGGAATCCAACTGTGACCTCCCGGGTCATAGGTCGATCTCAGCTGCCCCGGCCGGCGAGCCGTGGTTTTTCTCTGCGGAGAGAGAATGGTGAAGGGGGAAATCCTGAGAAAACACTGGGGCTCAGCAGGCAGAGACTTCAGCTTCTCGTTCTGAGATCAGTGGCAGAGAGGGAACATCTGATGGAACTATGAAAAGATAAACCAAAGGAGACACCCCAATGACGATGGCTGAGAAGGGCGCGGGAGAAGCGGCGGTCCCCGCGCAGGCTGCCATCTCCTGTGGGTCCCGGGGCAGCTCTGCCCTCAGCCTCCGCTGGCATCTGGGCACGTCCTGTGTGCCGAGAACCGGTGCCCACGCCATGACGCAGAGTCCCCTTGCCCGGGTGTGGCTCGGGCTGAGCATCGACTAGGAGCCAGGTCTTTGGTTTGCGTCCCGGTCAGGGCACAGGCCGGGCTGTGGGTGAGGTCCCAGTGTGGGGTGTGCAGAAGGCAGCGATCTGTGATGTTTCTCTCATTGATGTTCCTCTCTTTGTGAAAATAAATAAAAACATATATTTAAAAAGAAAAATTGCCCGTCAGGTATGCCCGCCCTCAGGTGCAGGAGCGGAGACTGAGCGGAGTTCAGAAAGGCGACTGACATCTCGCCGACACGTTTGCTCAGAAGAATGAAGACTGCGAGAACCAGCGAGGCATTCAGTGTGAACGGGCTCGGAACGCGCAGACCAGCTTCTGGCGGAAAGCGTACAGGGCGGAGCAGGGTCTGGGCACGGCGCCAGGGCGTCCTCAACACCAAGCCCCCCAATCACGAGAGCGTCGCAGGCCAGTGGAGTCCTCCAAGCCGGGCTTTATTCTGTACACGCCCGTGTGCGCTCGCCCCTGCTTACACAGTAAACACGCCCGCGCCCGGGGCTCGGGGTCCCTAGAGAAGGTGTCAGGCCAGCGAAGTGCAAGTGGGTGTCTCTCCCCGATGCCTCCTCCTGGGAGCACGGGGATCTGCCGGCTCCACTGCACCAGCTGGGCCCTGAGTGGTGCAGAGCTCCCTGCCGGCACGCACCCTCCGGGGACAGCACAGGGTCTGCCCACGGCTCAGGGCACCCTGCCTCCGGCGAGGCAGCACCACCGGGCAGGCCGGGCACTGTGCGGGAGGGCGGCATCCCTGAGAACTTGTGAGGAGGCTGAGAAAGCGGGCGGCGGGGGGTGGGGGGGAGGTCAGGGAGAAAGGCAGGGCGGGGAATAAATTAAAGGTGAGAGGAGGCTCCAGGGACAGGAACTGTGTTGACCTTCACACAGCCGGAGTGAGCAGGGGTGGGAGGGAGCGGGCAGGGACCTGATTCTCTACGTCGTCGCAAGAGAGCGCCTCTCCCCTCCCGGCTCCTCGCCGCTGCCAGCCAGCGGGCTGGGGGCTGGCCCGCCCCCGCCAGTGGGACGTGGAGTGGGGCCAAGGGAAGTGGCTGTGGGACGTTTCAGGGAGGGACAGTCACCCCCCTGGTCCCCAATGCTATAAGGCACAATTCTTTAGAGGCAATTAGATTCCATCCAAAACATTAAAGAAAGAAAGAAAGAAAACAACAAAAACCCTAAAAACCAAAACTCTTTAGCTCCCAGGCCTCAGGGGCAGTGCTGGGCCTGGACGGCGAGGAGCTCAGAAAACGTGTCTGAGGAGACAGGAACCGCCGTGTCTGCCGGGCAGAGGGGGCAGAGGGCGCCTCCGCCGGACAGCCGAGGCCAGCGAGCCCCGGGCTTTAAAGCCGGGTCCCAGGACTGGCAGGCGAGCGGTCGGCGGGGCTCCTGCTCCTGGCAGGGAGGCCCCACTCGGAGGAGCCGGAGCTGGGAGCTGCAGAGCCCAGGCCGCGCCGGCTCCGCTCCTGCTGGTCTTCGCTGCGCGGCTCCGCCCGCCCGGTCGCAGCCACGCCTGCTCCGCAGCTTTACTCACTTTATTTTTCTCTTATTTGTCAGGTTTGCTGTTTTTTAAAAAACACGCAGGGCGTGGCCGCCACGTGGGGGCGCTCTGCGCTACATGCGGGAGGGCGGGCTGGCCAGCTCGTAGAAGAGCAGGTAGGCGTCGCTGGTGCGCACTTGGCCGGAGGACATGGGCGTGACGCTGCGGAGAGAGGAGTCAGCGCCCGGGCTGCGGGCGGCGCTGTGCTCTGGGCCCACCCGCGCCACCCTCAACGCCGTCTGCTAGGCTTCAAACGGGCAGCAGACATGCCCCTTGGCTTAAAAAAATATTCCCACTGATCTCAGAAAGGAAGGGAGAGGGAGAGGGGGAAACATCAACGATGAGAGAGAATCATCAATCGGCTGCCCCTGCTCGCCCCACACTGCGGATCGAGCCCAGCACCCTTCAGTCCAAGGGCTGATCTCCCTCCACTGAGCAACACCAGCTAGGCTCTGGCTCTAACTTTCCCGTCAGCCAAGGTGGAAGCCACGCAGACGGGCAGGGGCAGGGTCTGGCAGCGGGGGCTGTCTGGGCGCAGGCCTGTCTCACCTGGAGTCATTGAACGTGTGCCATTCGCCAGTGGCCGGGCTCCGGCAGTACGCGGTGTAGTGGCCGCCCATGGTGGTTCCGGAGTGATTGGACACAGCGTACAGGTTGTAAACAGCATGGTCTGGGGAAGAAGCACAGTCTGCGAGCCCCCGGCATTCCCGCCCCCCTGCCTTGATTCCCAGTTTCAAACTCCCTCTCCAGCAGCTCCCCTCCTCCTGACTTCCCATCTGCATCTACCTGTGCCCCTTCCCTCCCTCCCGTGACAAATACCACCGGGAGGTCACTGCTGGGGTCCGGGTCAGGGCACAGGCCCAGGTTGCAGGCTTGCTCCCCACAGGGCCGTGCAGAGGCAGCTGATCCATGATTCTCTCTCACCTTCTCTCTCCCTCTTCCTTCCTCTCTGAAGTCAATTTAAAAAATATTTAATTAAAAAACACTCACTGGTGTTTTCTGAAGCAAATTCTCTCAAGTCCAGGTCTCTCAGCGGGAAGTTCACAAACGTTGTGAGCTTGCTGGTCCGCACCCTGGACTCGGAGAACCGTTTCAGATCTGGCAGGAAGCGCGTCAAGGACAGACAGGGTGAAGCAGAGTCAGAGAACGGGCGGTCCCCAGGGCGCCCGGGACCGGAGCCACACCAGACCCTCTGCCCTGCGGCTGCGGCCGCGGCCTAAGGATACGGAGCACCAGCACCTTGGGGAACCGCTGGATGGAGAACTTCTTCAGGCACCGCCTGCGGGCGCGGCAGCGGCAGCACGTCTGGGGACAGAAGGCGGTGAGCCCGGCGAGGCGGTCTCCGCCCGCGGCCGCCGCCGCCCGGAGCCTCCCGGAGGCCACTTACAGGCTTCTCGTCGCCGTCCAGCACGTCCTCTTTGGTGAAGAGCCGCATGCAGTCCACTAAGGTCACCTCGGGATAGCCCCGCTGGCGGGCGAAGGACAGGTCAGAGGTCAGCGGCCAGAGGGTGGGGGAGTCCCGAGTGCGGGGCGCCTACCTTGGCGATGGGCAGCGAGAGGTCCCAGAAGGGGTCGAAGACCGTGGAGCAGTAGCCGCAGTCCGTGCAGGTCAGGGAGCTCTTCAGCTGCCCCACAAAGAGATCTGGGGGACGGGGGCGGCTCAGGGCGCGCGGGCAGGGCGGGGGGGGTCCTGGGCCCGCACGCCCCACTCAGCCCCCGCACTCACCGCCAATCCGGCTGTCTTCCCGCTCCAGGTATTTCCGCCACATCTGCCGCCCTTTCTCGTCATCGCTGGGGACCAGAGAGGGGAAGGCAGTGGGGTCAGGGGTCAAACCGTGGTGCCTGTAGCCTCTATCAATCTTATCCTTAATATTCAAGCTTCTTCTCAAGCCACTGCCCTGGGACGTAGGCAAACACCTCAAGTCCATCCAGTTTTGCTCCCCACGTTCCTCCTCTTACTTACGGAAGGTGATCGAGGTTCTCAGGGGTGGACTTAGGCCTCACTGTGACTCGGTTTACCTCATTGTGCAGCCCATCCAGAAGGAAGCGGAGGAACTCCTGAGCATCCTGCTGACTGAGCCCAGAACAGAGTGAGCAGCCGCCCTGGCCCAGCCGCTGCCCGCCCTCCGGGGCTGGGGGCTGGGGGCTGAGTGGGGCATGCGCCACTTATAAGTGCAAGGCCCTTACTTATAGCCCACGAAGCGCGGGGCGAATCTCTGGATCTGGGTCTTGAACTCCGAGGGACTCACCACCTCGTTGGGAGGCGAAGTCCACATGGCCTGGATGAGCTTGGCGAACTCTGCGGGAAGGGGGGCAGGGAGCGTCCCCTGTGAGCAGCTCCGAAAGCAGGCTCCCAGCGAGGAGCCCGCAGGCCTGCCGACAGGAGGGTCCCGGTTCTATTCCGAGCAAGGGCACAGGCCCGGGCTGCGGGCTGGATCCCGGGGGGGCGTGCAGGAGGCAGCCGATCCGTGATTCTCTCTCCCCACTGCTGTTTCTCTCTCTCCCCCTCTCCTTTCCTCTCTGAAATCAACACAAATATATATTTTTTAAAAAGGAAAGAGAACAGCTCCTGTGCAGCCACAGCGGAGCGGGAACGTGCGGGGGAAGGGGCTGTGCGGACGGGCCCACCTTCCATGAGGGCCGTGCTGGCGCGGCTGCCGTGGCTCAGGTCCCGCAGGTGGAGCCGCTGCAGGCAGAAGTCGCGCAGCTCGCGCGTGTTGCTCAGGCACTGCAGGATGGCGTTCATGAAGCACTGCGGGAGGGAAACGCTCCGCCGTGGCCCCGCCTGCGGCGCCCGCCCTCCCTCCGCCTCCAGCTCCTCCCTGGTGTGATGGGGCGGGGCGAGCCCAGGTGGTGCCGGCCCAGAGGGTGTGAGGAAGGGGCGGGCGGCGGGCAGGGGTCCCATGGAAGAGCGGGCGTGGCCGGAGGACTCACCGTGTTCCCAAGGTTGCGCAGGCCGACCAGACCCTGGGCGCTCTTGGAGTTCTGCAAGCGAGGGGCAGGCGGTGAGGCGGCCGGCGGGCACGCCAGGCCGCTCCAGCGTCATCACCTCCTGGCAAGAGGCTTGGGGACGCCGGCCTTTTCAGGGCCCAGCGATAGCCTAGGACTTCGCTTTCTTTACCTGCCCCCCATCTTAAAGGGACATTTTTTTGTTTTTTGTTTTTTAGAAAAAGCATTTTATTGAATTCAGAGAGGGAGAGAAAGAAAGAGGAACATAGATGATGAGAGAGAATCATTGACCAGCTGCCTCCTGCATGCCCCCCACTGGGGATGGAGCCTGCCATCCGGGCATGTGCCCTTGACCTGAATCACACCTGGGACCCTTCTGTCCACAGGCCGACGCTCTATCCACTGAGCCACACCAGCCAGGGCTTATGTTACTCTCCATTCTCTGCCATACTAGAGGCTGGAGGTTGAACCGGAGAGTAAGAATTCATATATTTGGGGACATATTTGAGTCCTGGTTACAAGAAACTTCAGGTCCCCAATCCAGACACTGGCTCAGAGACCTGTCCCTGGTGCAGGAAGCAGCTGTCAGAGGGCACCACAAGGAGAAGCTCAATGAGAAAAACATCGGAACTGAACGTAGGTCTGGGGAGGGGGGCGATATCAAGCCGGCCTGCTACAGTGAACGGCCAGAGGCTGGAGTCTTTCCGGGGAGCTGGGCCGGGCGGCCTGTCCTGCCCACCAGCCCCAGGGCGGCAGGGCGGCCTTGTGCTGGAGGCTGCGGCCGCGGAGGCACCAGCTGCCTGCAGGTGCCGCTCTTGCCCTTGCCCTTGGGGAGGTGGGGAGGTCAGAGAGAACAGGTGCGGGGAGGGCTCTGCGCAAGGTGTGTCCAGGCCCAGGCTAGTTCTGGCCCTGCCTCCAAGGAGTTAGAAGGCCTTCAGGCTCCAAAGGTTAGAGAAGCCGTCTGCAGATGAGCCTGCGCGCCCCCCTCCTCACCCCCCGAGTGCTCAACCAGCTCACCCTGATGGGACAGGAGCCAGAATAACTCAGCTGAAACTACGCATTCCGGACGCCAGAGGCCGTGGGCTCGCTTCCCAGTCAGGGCACTTAGCAGGTAGTGGGCTCAGTCCTCGAGGGTGGTGGACAACTGCCCTCCCTCCCTTCCTCCCTCCCTCCCTCCCTCTCCCTCTCGAAGAACGTCCCTGGGTGAGAATTAAAAAGAAGACACAAATACAATAGCGATGCCCTGTGCTGACAGCACCCCAGGAGGGCGGGCTGAAGGGCTTTCCCAGGAGGGACCCGCCAGCCACAGGCAGCACCCTCGCCAGCTGTCGGGCCTCACCAGGGGGCAGGGAAGGACAGGCCGGAGGGGAGGCGGCGCGGCCCGAGAGAAAAGCCCTCGCAGCACGAGGGGCAGCATTCGTGAGGACGAGCTGTCCCCGGCCCCAGACACAGCATCTGCCGTCTGAACCCGAGGTTCCGAAGAGGCCCACCGGGCGCGCCTGGGACAGAGCCCGCCGGCCGTGCTGGGACGTCCTGGGGAGGCCCCGGGCCCACAGGCCGCCCCCTCAGCGCGCATCCTGAGCGCGGCCCGAGCCTCACCGCCGTGGCACCGCTGCTCCCCCCGCGCCGCAGCCCACGCCTGCCACACAGGCCGCCAGGCAGTGCCTGCCCTGGCGCCCTCCACGGCCGCAGGCCCTCCGCTGAGAAGCGGCCCCTGGGGCAGGGACGGCGGCAGAGGCCCGGGAGGCTCCCTCACGAGGCCGGGCGGAGGGAAGGTCAGGAAGAGGCTGGCGTCGCCCGGTGACTCCCTCTGTTAAGTTTTTATTGGTTTCAGAGCAGAAGGGAGAGGGAGAGAGAGACATCAGTGATGAGAGGATCATTGATGGGCTGCCTCCTCTCTGGGGATCGAGCCCACAACCCAGGCCTATTCCCTGACCGGAATCAAACCCGGGACCTTCACTCTGCAGGCCGACGCTCTGTCCACTGAGCCACACTAGCCAGGCCAGTGACTGTTCTTGAGGAACTCGTCCTGCTAATGCCTGGTGCCGGGAGAAGTTCCGTTAAGGTGCTGTGAGGACTTGTTTTTTGGGGAGAGGGTGGGATATGGGGGGAGGTGCTCTGCCTTTCTCTGACTTCCTGAGTTCAGCCTGGCTGGTGTGCTCAGTGGTTTGATTCTGGTCAGGGCACAGGCCCGGGTTGCGGACTCAGTGTGGGGTGTGCGGGAGGCAGTTGATCCAAGATTCTCTTTCATCACTGATGTTGCTATCTCTTTCTCCCTCTCTCTCTCTAAAATGAGAAAAAAAAATATATATTTTGGAAACAATAAAGTTTTCTGAATTCACAACCACATGCCAATTTCTAAGGGCTCTGTGTAGAAGGCGGTGAACAGCGGCGTTGGGGGGAGGGCCGAAGGAAGCAGACACAGCATCTCTGTCTGAACCCGGGCGGGGTGCCCGGGTCCGTCTGCAGGAGGCGCCTGCTGTGCGCGCAGCCAGACATCCTCAGCCACCAGCAGCCACCAGCAGCCGGGGCGCGGGGAGGGAAGATCTCCGCCCGCAGAGAAGCACAGGTCCCGGGAGTGACCTTCCCCGCGGGAAACCACCCGCCCGGCCGCTGCGGGGAGAAGCTGGGCCTCAGGGCTGGGAGCCCCTGCCCAGCGGACTGGCCAGGAGAGGACTCCGGCGGGCCGGGCACTCGGGAGCTCACGTGCAGAGTGTGCATCAGGCAAACCTAGTTGGACAGCAGGGCCACGCTTCCAGGCCAGGACACAGGCCTGGTTCGCCCTCCAGCGATGGCGCAGGGTGCGGCAGGTGAGAGCTGGGCATAGGGACCAAGTAGGGGAGGCAGCTTGAGGGTTGTCTCCCCCCGCAAGACCCCAGGGAAGGGCTTTCCAGCTTCCTTCCCGAGCTCTGGGCTCAGCGGGCGTCCTGAGCCCAGCGTGGCCCTGGCAGGGGCAGTGGGCGCACGGCCAAAGGGGCGGCTGCCTGTTACGTAAGACCTGTCAAGCTCTGGCTCTCCTCCTCCCCAAGGTGGGCATGCCCACCTTTACCCCCAGCTTCTCTCGGTGCCTGCCTCCCTGAGGGACCCAGTGCCGCTGAGCAGAACCGGGAAGAGCGGGCTGCACCTCTTCTGCCCTCCACGGCCCACGGCCCTTGCCAAGCCTCCGGGAGGGGGCCGCCCGTGGGGTCAGCCTGTGTGTGTGTGTGTGGTGGGGGGCGGGCTGGGGGAGCTTTCCCACCAGCCTTCCTGGCGCCCTTTCGGCCTGAGTCGTAACCGGAGACCAGAGCCGCCACCAGGGCCCTGGCGGGCGGAAAGCAGCCAAGGTTACGCATTCCTGCGCCGGCCCCACCTGCCCACAGTGCGGGGGAGGGGCTGCGGGCAGGCATCACCTGGGGCGGGGCGCGGCGGCGGCCGCGGCCTACCTTGGCCTTGTTGAGCAGGAGCCCCACGAAGGTGGAGAGCAGCAGCGACGGGGAGAGCGGGGAGCGCGGCCGCAGCTCCTGCGCCAGGGCGGGGAGGGCGGCGGGGGCTCCCTCGGGCAGCGTCACGGTGTAGGAGGTGCGCATGCTGGCGCCGCCCGCGCAGCGGGGCCGGGGCGCGGGGGGCACCGCGCGGTCCCACCGCCCGACGCCCGCCGGCGGCCGCCCGGACCGTCCGCCGCCCGGTAACCGCTGCGGCGCCGCCCGCCCGCGCTCCTGCCCAACCTCCGGGCGCGCGGCCCAACGCCCGGCGGCCCGCGGCTCCCGCCCGCCCGCGGCTCCCGCGCCGCGACGTCAGCGCCCCGCCCCGCCCCGCCCCGCCCCGCCCCCGGAGACCCGCCGGGAGGGCGGAGGCCGAGCCCGCGCCGCCTGCGGGAGGGCCTCAGGAAACTGGCCTGGAGGCCGCGGCCCCGACGGACGGAGGCACTGGGCGGGCGGGGGGGGGGGGGGCCTTCTGGACCGTCTTCCCGGAGCGCGCGCTCGCCCAGCGCTGTACAGCCGGGGGAGGGGCGCGCTCACGCCCTCTTGGAGCCCGGCACCCGGCGGTGAGGTCCGGGAGCCCTGGCCGGGGCCCCGCCCTCCAGCCCAGATTGGCCCCGGATGGAGAGGCCAAGGCCATGTTCTCTAAGCCCAGAGGAGAGAGCCCTTTCTGGGCTCTTCCACGCCATTACTCACCTCCTCTTCTCCCAGAACCTCAATCTCTGACTGTTTTTTGGAGGTGGGGTGCCCGGCTATCGTGGGAGGGTGCCACGCTGACCCCCAGCGTGGCTGCACGGGAAGGTCAGGGGGCTGGTGTCTTCTCGGTGCTCCACCCCTTTACCTATCCAGGACCCACGGAATCTGCTTAGAGACAGCTTGCCTGGCCGGCTATTTTTAGCCTCTATTTTTAGCATCTCCAATACTCCGGAGGCCAGCGGCCCTGTTCCTCCCGCAGGCCCCACCGCACGTGCACACGCACATGCACACAGGATTACAGTTGTGAGGACCGTGTGCATGACACGCGTGGCTGCACCCTGGGCCACCCCCAAAGCAGCAGTTTCAAACCAATGGATGTGGGGTGGGGGGGCAGCAGGAAGCAGGACCTGCAGAGCTTCCACTTGGTGATAAAAGAGGGTGCTGGCCAAAACCGGTTTAGCTCAGTGGATAGAGCATCGGCCTGTGGACTGAAAAGTCCCGGGTTCGATTCCGGTCAAGGGCATGTACATTGGTTGCGGGCACATGCCCGGTAGGGGTTGTACAAGAGGCAGCTGGTCGATGTTTCTCTCTCATCGACATTTCTAGCTCTCTATCCCTTTCTCCTCTTCTCTGTAAAAAAACAATCAAATATATTATATTAAAAGAAAAGAAGAAAAAAAGAGGGTGCTGACGTTGAGAGGGTGGTCTCCAGTCTCTGAGCTCCCTCAGTGGCCCTGCTTTACCCACAGCCCGCAGCCTAGCTGGCGTGTGATCACGTCGCGTCTCCTGCGGCTCTCCTGGCGGAGCTGGGCGGTCCTGCCCCCGCCGGTCACCACCAGCCCGCTCTCCTTTCTCTGCCAGCCCCGGCCTTCTCCCGTGGGAACCACCCGCCTGAGCGCGTGCTTCCGGGAGGCCAGGGGCTGGCCGACGCTTTACTAAACCACGCAGGCGACACCGTCATGACAGTGCGCAGTGCGCGGCCTCTGCCTCAGACACGGCCCTGAGCTGAGAGCCGGGACTGCGTGAGGGCAGCACTAATGCCTGTCAGCTGGGGCTTTGGAGCCGGGCCTGCTCTGCAGCAAAACTCAGCTCACTCCGGAGACGGCGCCTGGCCTTCCTGGCCGGCTGACGGCTCCTTTCTCCAAAGCCTCCCGATGGGCTCCCCACCCCGCAAGGGCCCCGCGGTCTGCTGGCATCCGCCCTGCGCTGCTGGGGTGTCCCCCGTACCTATCTTTGCTGTGGTGTCAGACTGCGGACTGTCTGGCTGGGTGATGGTGCCATCAGGAAAGCACCTCAAAGACAGGGCTGTGGGTTCTTAGTAAACGGCGCTCTCATCTCCGCCAGGGGCCCGGCCAGGCTCTGCAGGGCTCCTGGGAGTCCCCCAGCCTCCGCTGGCGGGTGGGTCTGAGTTTGCATGTGGAATGGGGGGCTGCTCTGGGCCTGCTCCACCTAGGACGGCACTGCCTCCTGCCAGACGCTCCTCCCCTCCCCCGGGCAGAGGGTGGTGGCGAGGGTGGGTGCATCGGGGACAGGTGGGAAACCTTCACCTGGGAGCCATGAGAAGGCTCAGAGGAGGGGAGAGAATTCACACAGAGCCATCTTGCTAAGCAGGTCTGCACACCAACAGAGAACTGAGGCTCATTCTTGGACTAGCCACACCCCCTGGAGACCCTCTCTCTTTAGTGCCACTTCTTAACCCTCCGTGAGGACACTTCTCATTAATTCTAGAGCAAGAGGGAGGAAGAGTGAGGGAGAAGAGGGAGAAGGAGGGACAGAGAGGGGAACACTTGCCCCGACTGATCAGGAATGGAACCCTTTGGTGTCCAAGATGATGTGTTCTAACCACTGAACCACACCAGCCAGGGCCAGGGCCATTTCTGAAAGTGGAAGAGGTAAAGCCAGCCTCCTATATCTCTGGGTTTCACACCCATGGACTCAACTAACCTCAAGCTTAAAAAAAAAAGTGTCAGAAAGTTTCAAAAAGCACAGCTTGAATTTGCAGAGTGCAGGGCGCTACGCCGGGTCCGGTGAGAGGAGCGACATAGGTGCCCGTCCTGCCACAGCCTCCGGCAGGACGCCATTCCGCGAGGGGCTGCGCCGGGTTCGGTATTGGGAGGGTCCCCGCGGGTCCTGAGGGGCTAGTCTCCTGGCCTGAATCTGGCTCTGGCCGCCTGACTTGGGGGACCCGGGCTGGCGCTCAGGCTGCCTGCCCCGGCAGCACAGTGTTCTCCCTCCGGTCCTCCCTGCGCATGGGACACAGTCAGTCAGAGGTAGCTCCGTGAGGGCAAGACTGAGCGCGCGCCCGCCAGCCTGGCTCAGGCCTGGGCATCGGCCTGTGAACCAGGAGGTCACGGTTCAGTTCCCGGGTTGTGGGCACCTCCCCAGTGTGGTGTGCAGGAGGCGGCCGGCCAAGAGAAGAGAGAAACATAAAAGTACATGAAGACGGAGCGTGGCTGCTCCGCCGGCCTCAGTGGGCAGCGGGCCAGGGCTCGGAAGCACAGCTCAGGCCCCGGCAGGGCCAGGCCGGCCGGCTCCCGCACAGCCGCTGCTCTCGCTGCCTGCCCGGCAGCTGGAGGCTGGCGGGTGGTGGGGTTCCGGGTCCTTGCTGGGCTGGCTGTCAGCCACAGGTGCCCTGGGAAGGGAAGGCCAGTGGGAAGCTCACACCCCGGAGGCCACCAGCTGCGCCTGGAGCCTCGGCAGCCTGGCCTGGACCGGCCAGATCCCCGAGGCCCACACATTTCCCTCTCTTGCTTGAACTCTGTCTAGGGCAGTGGTCGGCAAACTCATTAGTCAACAGAGTGGCAAACCGCGGCTCTTGAGCCGCAAGTGGCTGGTCCAGGGCACCGGTTTATGTCTCCATCGCGGTCAGAGGGTGCAGGGTTCGCTGTACAGCGC